GACCGAAAAGCTTTCGGAAATTCTCATTTAAAATTCGCGCGCTGTATATTTTCCGATATTTTAAGTTTATGTAGTTTGGCAGCACTGTCCTTAATTACTATGCCAAAAATGAGCGCGATCTGTCAGACAGTTCGTTTACGGCAGCTGTTGAAACCAGTTCACCTCAGTAGGGCGTTGCGAAAAAAACAATGGAAAAAAATATTGAACAAAGAGTTTGCATCAAATTTTGTGTTTCGAACGAAATTTCGTGTGCAGAATCGTTGCGAATGCTACAAAAGGCTTATGGGGAATCAGTTTTATCGAAAACTCAAGTTTATGAGTGGTACAAAGCCTTCCAGGACGGTCGTACGACCGTCGAAGACATTTCGCAACGCACTACTGAGGTGAACTGGTTTCAACAGCTGCCGTAAACGAACTGTCTGACAGATCGAGCTCATTTTTGGCATAGTAATTAAGGACAGTGCTGCCAAACTACATAAACTTAAAATATCGAAAAATATACAGCGCGCGAATTTTAAATGAGAATTTCCGAAAACTTTTCAGTCTTAATGTACTTAGACTAAATTTGTTGAGGGGCTCGTCTCATTTGTTAGAAACTTTCCAATTCACTGATTCTCAAATTTGATTGTCTTATTAGATAACTGCTACGTACATTTTTAATATATTAAATATGTCAATATATAAATACTTAGATATAAATTGGATAATAAGAATGGGTTTTAAATTTATAATGGAGAGTCAAAGCATATAAAAAATTAATCAAATTTCATTAATAAATACAGACGATTAGATTTTGACCAAAGAGCGATGAAATTCAATTTACCGATAAATAGTTTGATAAATTGTCAAAAAATAAGCCTATTTCTGGAGGCTAAAGCTTTGCATTCACAGAAAAAATGTAGAATTTTTTATTTTTCCGACAAGTTTTCACAACTTCCACAATAAGTATATGAAGTTTAAGTTTGCGTGGGTTACTATAGATCAGTGACTGGAAACAACTTCAATAAACATTACAGTATTCACATGATATCTTTAATGACTTCCTAAGACCTGATCTTATTATATGAAAGTTTAGCTAACCGGAAAGTTACATATTACTGAATCCAGGGAGGCATCTTTGAATTCTGCTGAGATTTTAAATGATATACCTTTTGTCCAAACTACAGAGACATAAGTGAGTATCGAATATACAACGTTCGTATTCATCCAAAGTGTAATATCGAAACGCATCACCCATTATTTTTGCTAAACATTCTATTACAAGAATAGAAAGCTGTTTAGATGTTCATGACCTTTACATCGATATTGACTTTCAAATTTAGCTTACTCTTCAGCGGTATTGTCTAAGTTTTTGTATTTTTCTAATAGTTTTAGCATGGAATCAGATATTATCAGAATTAGTTAGAATAATGTAATGAAATCAAACAGAAGTACGTAAATTAAGTTTTATAATTCACAGCTAAACTGAATACGTAGCTTATTAAATATATATATTTTTTTTGGTCTAAAACATAAATACTATTTGCTCTTACATATTGCAATACCCACAAATAAAAACTATCTTATTAAATTAAGATATATTGGAGTGTGTATGTGTACCTTAATTACCCTTTCACCAAATCTAATGTGCTTAAATGAAACTTTCTACAAAATACTTGAAAGCAAAAGTATTTAAAACTGACAAAATTAAATTAAATACATTAAACCCAAATACTTTGTACTCCTCATACTCTCTCATAGATACTCCGATTTGAATAAAAGTCAATGGAATAATGAAATTTACAGTTTTCATGTATGAAAGGAATTCACACAAAAGCTCTACTTAAAATGAGTTAATATTTTATATAAATATACAAAAGAACCCTTCTTCGGTTGACAGAACAAATTTGACACTGACCACTTAATAAATCAGAACGAGTCCAACGACAACCGACGACAGCTACTGCAGCCAGAGAAAATGTTAAGGAAAACTCCGAAAGGAAAATGTGGCAGACAAATGCCTCAGTTACTGCCAAATACCAGGACGGACGCTTTTGTAAGTGTTAAAATTTGCATTCACCAAAGGAGGTTTTGTGTGTGTGGAATGTGACCAGAGAAGTGGTCGGCATTGGTGTTTGCATTTGGAGTGTAAAGGAATTTGTCTCAAGTATTTCTTATGTGGATTTCTACATTTCTTTGGTACCATTTAGTACTGAGTGAAATAGCAAAAAGTTGGGGCTGGCATTGGTATTCACATGAGGAAAACTTGTATGAAATATTAAACATTTTATTGGTAACTAAAGCCATACCAAATCCAAAGGATATACGTCGGATATGTTGTGAAAACTATTTTCGAATTATTGATGTTGCAATGATAGCATTATTTGTATTTTCGATTTTTTCCTTCATTAGAATAAAAATTATTTAACTAATTTTATTTGTTTAGGTTTAAAAGTTTAAAGGATTGACTAAGACTTTCTTCCATGAAACCCATTAGTTATATTTGCAATGTAAAGAAAATTAATTTCATTAGTTATTAATACTAAATGTAGGAACTTTTTCCATGATATGATAATGTGTTGATTATAACTATTAACTATTTATTTAAAATGATTATTGCTATATTATATGCCATAAATTTTAGTTTCAATAATATTTACCTACTCATTGTACTTAAACGAAATCATTATATATTCAGTAAGTTCTCAAAGCATCTAAAATTCTAAGACTCACCCAAGGCGTTGTTGTTCACTCTCCTCTTCATCCTCCATTATATCTACAGTGGTGTTCGAGCCATCAAAAGTGCCAACACTACTTAAAGTGTTGGTAGTATCTGCATTAGTTTTTGTAGCTCCCATTGTTGCAGTAGACGAAAGCTCTGTATTGAGGGTATTTTGTGAACCATCTGCTCTGTAGGTAACGTCGCTTTCCGCTAGTAACGTACTTATTTCTTGTGGCAAAGGTTTCGTTAGAAATTTGGCGCGTCGCACGCCTGAAATAGAAGAATGAAAACAAAATTTATTATGTTTTCAAATTATGATAAAGCACATTTTGCACTCTTTTGTATAAATAATAATCAAAAGAAATATCTATTATTGAAAACTTTCTAATAAAGTTTTTAAACAAGTTTGACACAAAATCAATTTGCAGCACATTAAAAAATAAATCAAGCACATTTGAGCATATTTGCTTGCCTTTCAAACTTCAACATGACACGTTCATCAAATTCAATAATAAATACCTTTCAGCTTTTCAACGATTGGAACTCTGAGTTCTCCTCGTCGAGCATTGCATAAGTGCTGCGCTCCTTGGGTGCTCGATATTAAATCGAAAATTCAGTCACGTGCATTGGTTATGATAACAACACCTTCAAGCACCAACAAACGACACAAAAACAAAAATTTGTAAAAAAAGTTGAATAAGTTTTTCTTTAAAAACTGCCTCATCAAGTCGTCATGTCGTCAAGTCGTCATGTCATTGTCATCATCAATAAGTCGAATACAAAGCACCAAAAGTATTGGGAAAAACCACAAGAAATTCCTTTTATATCTTGTATTGAAGGTGGCACTTTGTCTTTGACTTCGACTGTCTGCTTTGCTTTCCATACAACTGAGACTTGGCAAAAGTTTCATCGAAGTACTTTTCAAGTGCTTAAATGCATCATTTTTACGCCAAGTTGATCCGCATTAAGTAGCGAACGTATTAAGAAGTTTCATTGTACCTGGATCCTTAGTCCTGAATCGAATGCGTAAATTGCTGCAAAGTGATTGATTGAGACGCGTTGGTTTGTAACTGTGACATTTCATTTATTATCGTCGCGAATATTTGTCATTTCATAAAAATGGTGAATAATTACATTTCATTGTAGAACCAGACATTTTCTCAAATATAGTAGCTGTAATTAAACCTCTGAGGACTTCAAATATTGTTTGACTTTCTAGCATATCAAAAGCAAATCTATTAAATGTAAAAAAACAAGCCGTAAGATTTTTAAAAGCACTTTTTAGATCATTAATGGGTTTTTCAAAAT